CCAGCCCCGCTCCATGCTCAGGGCCGGCGGGCGAGGGCCAGGCCCATGGCGAGGGGCGCGGGGCTGGGCCCGGGCCGGAGCGCACGAGCCTCCGGCCTGTAGGCACTCGTCGGCCAGTCGAGTCCCTCGACTCCTCCACCTCGCAGCCGGCAAGCCCAGACCTGGAGAGGCCGGGAGCCAGCCCAGCCAGGAGAGAGGCGGCAAGTCTGGCCTGGAACACCTGGGGAACGGCGGCGCGGGGGAGCCGGCCTGCCGGGGCAGCCCCCGGGAGCCCTCAGAAAACAGGAAATTCCAGCCCAGGGCTCCTCCTAGGATTGGGCAGGTAGGTGAGGAGATGTCATTAAGAACAGGCCAAATAAATAACAGTCCTAGAGAACACACACTGGGCCCCGTTTTGGAGAAAAGTGGGCCATTTCTCTTTCTCCAAAGGAAGAAGCAGAAGCACCAACAGGAGGACCAGAATTATTAAAAGCCTAAACTGGGAGTCAAGAGGCAAATCTTAACTATCCTCTAGGCCTCAATCACCTCATCTGGACGAGGTTAAGTGTCTTTCCTAAGGGTGGCAGACAAAAGGTCACCTCTGGGCCTGGACCACAGTTCTGGGTGAGTGACTCACTTTGAAGCTTCGACATCTCTGGTCCCCTGCTGCTCCATGGGTCTCACTGTCTGTCCAGATGATAGCTCGAAAGCAAGCAGTAGCTTGTGGTACTAGATAGAGCCTGACATTCTCTGTAAACGAAAACACTCCTCTCTCAGCCCCGATACCCTTTCAGTTTCATGAGTGTGGGCAGCACTGGACACCCAGTAAATCCAGGGCTCACCCAGAATGGGGCAAGGAGTCTCCCTGCTATAACTTACGCTTCATTGTAAACATCAGTCGTCTCTTGAGGCTCAAAGATGAGCCAGTTTTCCGTGATCCACAAAGTAAGAAATCATCGGAGCTGCCTCAGTACCATGAGCAGACCAGGAGAAACCAGTTTAAGTAGTGGCAAGGGCTGAGGGGCTTGCGTTTCCTTTGAAGAGCTATCACTCCCAGGTTTCCTCCACCCCCAGTCTCGCCCAACTCCCAAAGTCCCTTTCAGCTTGAGAATTCCATGGTCCTGGTCAGAGCCAAGTAGGAGATAGTGGCACATTCCTGAGGGGCTGGGGCTGGGGGAATGCCTAAGGAAGGCAGGGCCTCTCTCTCCTAGGTGTTCCCTGCAGAAATGAGTGCTGGAAACTCCCAAGTCCTGGGCTGGATCTCCCAGGCCTGGAGAGGCCCCGGGGGTGAGGTCGTATTTTCGTGGGACTAGTTATTAACCGTGGTGAGGATAGGATGGCTTCTTCCTGTCCAGGATGTAGTAACCCCCCCCCCCATAATAGACGGTTCAGTAGAAGGGCCTCTCCCAGGAACCTCGGTTGGGCATGAAGACAAGAACACGACCTGGGAATCTTGACTCACACTTCCCAGTTCAAGTCTGCAAACCTCCCTGAGCTATAGCACAAAAGGAAACACTGTCTTTCTGCCTTGTCTGCACACCCGTCTGCACACCCGTCTGTCCTATCTCTCACACATACACACAGGAAATGGCCGTTCCTCAACAGAATAATGTTGCCCATTCACAAGCCCACCCCCAAAGCCCAGGAAAATGCAAGCCCAAGACAGCAGCTATGGGAGTCGGCCTCTGGAACCGAGGGGGGACAGGGGACGAGGTGCCTAACCGGATGGGTTGCTTTAAAACTCAGCTGGCTCTCAGTGGGAAAAAGGCCCCAGCTCCGCACATGCTGGCACACAAAGACACACAGACAGACATTCACATGTGTCTCAGGGAAGGCAGGCAGCAGCGTCCAGTCCCCAAAAGGACACCTTATGTTCTCAGAGGACATGTAAGCTCCTAGATTCTGCTGCAGAATCAGTTCAGGTAGAAAGCTCTACCTAGGTCAGTTCCCAAACCCAGAAAAACTTCCTCTTCCTCACCTGGCTGCCTTCTCCTTCCTATCCCCTTTTCCCAGAAACCTTTCCTGATCCAAAGAAACTAGACAGGGAAGGGCACCTGCTCCCATGTAAATGCCTCAGGACATCAGGTCAGTCGAAGACCCTAAAAAGCAGAACAGCTACAAGCACACACCTCTTTTCCTCATTGGATCAGCCCCGGGTCAGAAACGAGGGCTCTGATCTGTCTCCAAAGACGTGCAGCAAACGCAGCTGAACTCAATGTAGCCATTACCTACTGGGCCCAAAGGAAATCAGGACAGCCCTAAAAAGCTCCGGGCTGGGATGACATGTACAGAAATCCCATGAAACAAGCCCTCACGTCTGTTCTCTTTTTCTTAAGGCCAACAGAAGCGGCAGGCTGAATTTGCCTCTTAGGGGCTGGGCAGCTCCATGGAGGTTCTTACGGGACCAAACATGAAATCTCTCATAGATGCCTACAGTGTGTCTTCTGGGTCAAGGCGAACACAACCTTTCCTTGAAGGCAGAGTGTGGGAAAGAAGCACCAAACATCCCCTTCTGCAGAGTAGCTGGAAGTCAGGAGGAAGAGCTGGCTCTAGTGATGCACGTGGCTGGCAGGGCTCCTCTGGTCACGTGAACTGACCCGGGCCTCAAATGCTCTGCCCGTGTGTGGCATCGAGGGTCATGAGGGATCATGATGGAGAGAGAGAAACCCCCTAGGCAGGTGGGAGATGTGAGATGCTTCCAGAAAGAGAAAGCTAGTCCTGA